AGTCACAGACCCCACAAGTGGGCGAGTTCTTCTCCACCTTGTTTTTGGTTTTTCCAAAGAAAGATGGCAACCAGAGACCAGTGATAAACTTGAAAAAGTTAAACTCATTCATAAATGCCTCACATTTCAAGATGGAAGGCAATCACACACTCAAAAGCCTTCTCCAAAAGGGAATTTGGCTAGTAAAGATAGACCTGAAGGATGCTTACTTCTCTGTCCCGACATAGGTGGCTGCAGGCCCAGGCAAGCCCAGGCTATGCCTGGGTAGCTTTTAATCAAAACCACACCCAAAAGGTGGGTTTTGTTATTGTTAGGACACTATAATTCATTTTTTAAAACAACAACTGTTTATATACAGTATCAGTTCATCTTTACAGTTATTTTAGTGTGGTAACTGGCTTCAATCAGTAACCTTTAGTCATTTAATTAATTGACCACACCCCCAATTGTTATTAATAATTAATGAGCCTGGGTACTTTCAAAATTCTGCAGCCGCCTATGCATCCCGATAAGCAAAGAACACAGGAAATACCTGTGCTTCGAGTAGAGGAACAGGTTTTACCAGTTGAACTGTCTCCCATTCTGCTTGGCCTCAGCCCCATGGGTCTTTACCAAGACCCTCAAGGCAATAGCAACTCTTGGTCGGGAGCTGGGGATACGATTGGTAGTCTACATAGACGACATTCTCCTTATGGCAGAAACAAAGGAGAAAGACAGAGATCAAGCATTAGGTCTGGTATATGAGCTACAGTGCCTAGGCTTCACTGTAAACATGGAAAAGATGGTACTAGAACTGTCCCAATGCCTAAAATTCCTGGGTTTCATGGTAGATACTACCAAGATGAAAATTAAGCCTGCCAGCTCAAAATATAAAAAAGATTCGGGCGGAGTCTCAACAGTTTTTAGAGGCAGAGCTTGTAGCAGCCCGCACCCTCTCAAGATTAATTGGAAAAATGAATGCTACAAACCAAGTGATCCCACCAGCTCCACTGTTTTACAGGAGCCTACAAATGAACTTGACAGAGGCTCTAAGGGATGCCAGTCAGGATTTTGAAGCAGAGCTCACTCTATCCACCGACAGCTGGGAGGAACTGATTTGGTGGGACACCCAAATGTTAAAATGGAATGGCAAAACAGTGTTGGCAATGGAGCCAGATCCGATCATAGAGTCAGACGCAATATCCCAGGAATGGGGAGCGTCCTCCCAAGGAAACAGCACAGGGGGACCTGGTCTCCTCTGAAGACGACTTGGCATATCAATTGCCTAGAACTGCTAGCAGCGACTCTAGCATTAAAAACTTTCGTGAAGAACACGAATGAATTATCAGTATTGCTGAAGATAGACAACACAGCAGCAGTTTCCTATATCAACAACCAAGGGGTGACTATATCCAAAGAATTGATAGTCTTAACCAGAGATCTGTGGATGTGGTGCCTGGAGAGGAATATCCACATCCAAGCACAATACCTACCTGGAGTAATGAACCAGGTGGCAGACATGGAATCGAGATCCATGAAGGATTGATCAGATTGGAAACTGAATCGTTCTGTCTTTCTGAAGATCAACAAGATCTTTTGTCCAGTGGAAGTGGACCAGTTTGCATCCAGGTTAACCAATGAGTGCTGTCGCTACTTTAGCTGGCGGCCAAATCCATTTGCAGATGCAACAGATGCCTTTCTCCAGGATTGGACAACAGTAAAAGGCTTTGCCAACCCACCTTGGAACATGGTACAGAGTGCTAACAAAAGCAGAGACTCAAGGGGCAGAAGTAATTCTGGTAGATCCAGAATGGAAATCCCAACGATGGTATCCTCTCCTACTGTCATTACTAGTAGACTGGCCATGCCTGCTCCCAAGCAGGACATGACAATAGAGTCAGTTCTGATAATGCCCCAACTAGCCGTGTGGAGCATATCAGGGAAAGACTCAATGAACAAGGTCTTTCAAGCGAAGCTACAGACCTCATTCTCAGTTCATGGAGGACAAAAACAAATAAGTCATATGACTCATTATTCGGGCGATGGAATCGCTGGTGTACTAATGGGGGTTCCAATCCCTTTTCAGGACCAGTAAGTGAGGTCGCTAATTTTTTAGCAACACTCTATCAAGAGGGTTATCAATACAACTCTGTCAATGCATATAGATCAGCCGTATCATCGGTGCATGAAAAGGTTGATGGACAACCAGTAGGTCAACACCCCATCATCACCAGACTGGTGAAAGGGGTATTCAATGTGAGACAACCCATCCCTTGATATTCTTATACGTGGGATGTTCAGAGGGTATTAAATTACCTAGATTCTCAGGAAAGGGAAACACCCTTATCACTAAAGGCTCTAACTTTGAAAACAGCCTTTCTATTAGCCATTACAAGACCATGCAGGTCAGCCGACATCTCACAATTGAACATTACAAGAATAAGAAGAGGTATGAATGGGATATCATTTTTGCCCTCAGCTTTAGCAAAACAATCAAGGCAAAGAAAGCCAATAGAACCCTTTTATTTTCCAGCTTTCCCGGCTAACACTACCATCTGTCCAGTTAACACCCTTGATACCTACCTGGACAAGACCAAGCAAATGAGGGAAATGAAAACAGACTGTTCACTTTCTTCATAAAACCACACAAAACAGTTACATCTAGTTCCATCGCAAGATGGCTAAGAACTACTCTTGAAGAGGCAGGGATCGACTCCTCTATATTTGGAGCCCATTCTACTCGTGGGGCGTCAGCTTCAGCTGCAGCCAGAAGTGGAGTTACTCTAAAAGAAATCCTAAAAGCAGCAAATTGGAGCTCAGAGTCAGTATTCCAAAGGTTTTTATCACAAAGAAGTGGATCGAGCAGCCTATGGAATAGCCGTCATTAATGACCAGAATAGCTTGGAAGAAGCTACTAACAACACAGTTGATATGTGAGACTGAGCCTTCTGAAATATAATTGTCAGAATGGCTAAGGCCACAAAGTGGCTGCAAGCTATTCTAGATTATATGAAGGTGAAGTCGATCATATCAACTATCCACACCCACCCTCCCAATGGAAGAGGAAGAGCTAATCAATGGCCAAGGAAGATGGCTGAAGCAGGGGCTTATATAGTGAGGCAAGTGGGCGGATGGGCGGACCAAAAGTTATTAAAATTACAAATTAGCTGTCAGTTAAGAAAACTGGCCAAACACAGTTGATATGATCGACTTCACCTTCTTCATATAATCTAGAATAGCTTGCAGCCACTTCGTGGCCTCAGCCATTCTGAAAATTATTTTTCAGATTTTGTTGAATTACGACATACTCAGAGTGCAGCACCTAACGACACCAAAAAGGAATAAAATTACACGTCTTCTTACGAAAAGGAAGCCTACATCTCTTGCCTCTGAGCTGAAGAAGCATTCAAAATATGCAAAGCCACTGATTAAAAGAATTGCCATGATAATAAGGAAGGAGCTGAATGTCTTGTGCTCTAACACTGTATCTTATATATTTTCTAGCACTAAGCTGTCATTCTCTTTGGGCAATTATGTTGGAAAAATAGAAAAATATGTTCCATCTTTGGTTGAAATGCTGTCTATCATTCTAATGATCAAGCATAAAAAGAAAGCAGACGTGATTAGGATCACTGGTATCATCATTTCAATCTGAACTTCATTCAAGAGAAAATCACTTAATATTATTCAGAAACTTATATCAGTAATTCTTTATGCTGGTCACTGTTCAAAACAAGTATACTATATCATCATGTATAGTCATGTACAAACATTTTATAGGCTTTTGACAGATTAAACAAGCTACACTTGTGCACATCATACAGTACCCCAAATTGGACAGGATTTTGACAGCTAAGTCATTGATTGGAGACACTCATTAGATTCCACTATACCAGGTGTTAAAGAGTTTGTAAGTAAATAGCATAATACATGCATGTACTCAGCAATATTAGTTGGTCATTATACTTTTATTCAGGACAAATTGGGAGCAGCATATACAGTGATGATGAAGTAATAAAAAACTGAAATAATAAAGGAACTAGTTTGAAATGACATCTCTGAATTCAAACCAGGATGTGAACACAATCATTTCAAAGATTTCTTGTGCAACGTTATGAAAAGTGTGTATTATTTAAAAACTGTAACTTGGATAAAAGAATGCTATGATAAAATAATAAATTAAATTGCCTTAAGAAATCAATGATTATTATGCATGTATTTCTACTTTTAATTGACATTTATGACATGTGAATTTACTAGAACGTATATCACAACACATACAAGTAACTGTTATCAACTGAATAGGTAGAAAACAATGAATACAAGTAATCTCTTAGACATCTATCTTTCAGCTTACAATAATCCATGACATATGTGACCATAATTGACAAAAGGTACCTTATGGCGGTTAGTGAAATTTGTCTTAATAGCCAAAAAAATCCAACTTCCTGAGCTTAATTTATCATAAAATTACCCTACAAGATGCAAGAAGTTACTATGTAACATTTAGACAGAAGGCTTGTCCAATAGAGCACTCACAGGATGATATATTTCATCTTATTGATTAATTTTAAAATCCGCCATAAGGTACCTTTTGTCAATTATGGTCACATATTGATTGCAGAATTTCTTGTAAACGCCACAGCCAAAAAGCATTGTGCACTGGGTAAGTGAGCCAACTCGTCCAGCCCTACCAATTTGTTGAACATATGTCTCAATGTCTTCAGGAACACAGAAGTGAATGACACGACTAACATTGGAACAATTGACACCAAGACCAAGAGCTACTGTAGCTATTAGTACCCTCAAGCATGAATGATCAATAGAGAACTGTTTCAGAATAGTGTTTCTAACTGATTCTTGTGTGCGTCCAGTGTAGTAGTCAACAATTCTCAATTCTAAAATCTTAAGTGAAACACCTGGTGGATCAGTCATGTCTTGCTTCAAAAACCAATAAAATGCTGACCAAAACTCAGCACAATCAATTGGTCGTCGACAGAAAATAAATGTCTTTTCCATGTTCAATTGCTTTTCGTTTTTAAGTCCTCCATCAATGGCCTGAATGTTGTCGCAATTGACTTATATTCTTCAACAGAAAAGAACAGGTTCTTTTTTTCTGGCGACAGTTCAATGATAGCAACATTATTCATGCCAATAGTATGAATGACATGTTGCTTCAGTGGTTCTGTAGCAGTTGCAGTTAAAGCTAATACTTTTGTGTCCTTTGGGAGAATACTTCTCACTTTGCCAAGCTTTGAAAAATCTGGACAATAATCTCCCCTATATAAATTATAAAACCGAAATTACTTGTGTATGGCAATATAAAACATACCAATTCTTAATCAAATGGGCCTCATCGATCACAAAAGGACAGATTCTTTATTGGTACAGATCACTTTTGATAAAGGTGGTCCATGTACTGCCTCTACTGTATAAACTCTCTGGACTAATGAAAACCAACTGGAACTCTCCCTCAATAAACTTGTCCCTACTACAACTTGTATCCCCTACATATGCAGAACTGATTCCCATCTCTCTGAATCTAAATGTCTGGTCCACCATAGGGGTTTTCAATGGACATACCACTGATGCAATTGATGTCACTGATGGCAATCCTCTCAAGCTGTCAAATAGGAATGGTAGACAGCCATATATCATACTCTTGCCATATCCTGTAGGCAATGCAACAATAGTGTCTCTGTGCCTGATAAAATGCATAATAGCTTGCATTTGCATCTCCTTTAGAGTAATACCTGGCTTTGAAGCAGTGCCAGTGACCATCTCTTCCAGAGCTACACCTGCCATTGCTGAAATGCTGATTTGCTGTAATACTAGTGCGCTATAGATTTGCGTGAGAGTAACATGGAGACTAAAATTATTCGCCCACACAAATCAAAACATTGAAAACACAAGTTGATATCTAGCAAGGCACCAGACAGACTCTATTCTAAAAATTGAGTCTGGCCCTGCGAGATTATTCTGAGATCTGAGCATGCACGACCACACAGAAATTTTGGAGCACATGCTTCTATAATTAACAAAATGGCGATAGGAAGTAAGTTGGCCTGATACAGCAGTCATAACACAACTTTTTCTTATCTTGGAGAATGATTTTGGGGGACATGAATCTGCGCATAGACTGTTCTAGTAGACTGGTGTCAGAATTATACTTCTAGCAAGAGTTAAGATCACGATACAGCTCGCTAACTGAATTGCCAGGACTTCTTTGATGATGATGAAGATGAAAGAAGGTGGTTGAACAAAACGGCCAGTTCGCCGATTTTTGGCTTTCCTTTTATACTAGGTTTAGAGCCACGCTAATGGTACCAATGGAGTCCTCTGGTCAAGATGAGGTCCTCTAAAAAGTCTGGTCAGCATAGGAGCTCGTTTTCCCCGTATATAACAAGGCTGCAAAAGTCGTGGCAGCCATTTTGTTTTGGGGTTAATTCTACTTAGTAACGCTACCACATTTCTAATAATGAGTAGAAGTACCTTCCCCAATCCATTTCTACAGATTACTGTAGAACATTTACATTTGCTTACATAAGTAAGTATAATTCTCAAAATATCGCAAAGCAGCTTTGATAATCTATTGATGATTAGCTTTTTCTAAATATGTATGCAACTCTGAAGTGAAACAATGAATTCCTATTTCTTATAAAAAATTTTATAAAAAATAAGATTGAGTAGGATTCCAAATGACCAATGAAAATACGAAATGAAAATCCTACTCTCATGATGCAAATTCTACTTTACATTGTACTTTTAATGTTATTACTAAAAAGTTATGGATCACCTTGCAATGTAAAGTAGAATTGGTGTCTCGACAGTAGGATTTTCATTTCTTTTTATGTTGGTCGTTCGAAATCCTATACATTCTTGTTTTTTTTTAATTTTTGATGTTCTTGTTTGTGTTGATTTTTTTATAATATTTCAAATGTTTCTTCAGTTACAATTGTGATACTTTTTGATTTTATACAAACAATAAGTTTCATTATTATTGTTGTCATTGTTATTATTTTATAGCATTTATGAGGGACAGTACTGATTGAATTGAATAGATATGGTGAAGGAATATCTACAATACTGATGAAAAGTGAAATGAATACTATTGTCTTGATGTGAATCTTTGTTCAAGAACCGGCAATCCTGTAGCTATTCCTGCAGATTCTTCCCGTTGTCAAGTTCATATTATCCTTAGTATTATCATATTAATTAATTGTTTTGTGTTATTAAAATAAAATAATTCATTGCACACTTGATATATGCAAGATTGATACATTCTCTTAGCTGAAAACCTCCACCAAGTATTGCAATTTGATTCCAAGCAAGCATGGCCTAGCTAGGTAAAAAATTACTTGCTGTTCCCAGTTCTGAGATCTGAACATGCTTGACCACACCCAAATTTTGAAGCACATGTTTTTCTTTAAATAACAAAATGGCGGCATGTGGTTAGCTGGTGCAATCCAACAGTCACAGTATCACTTCTTCCTTTCTTGGAGAATGATTCTAGGAGCAAGAACATGCACATACCCTGTTGGAGTAGAACCGGTGTAAGAATTAGCTTTTTCACTAGGAAAGATTGATATATCGACCGACAACTGGATTGACAGGATTTTCCTGATGAAGATGAAGATGAAAAACCGTGGCTGAACAAAACGGCTCGTTTGCCAATTTTTGATTTTCCTCCCACAAAAGGTCTAGAGCCACACTAGTGGTACCATTGGAGTCCTCTGGTCAAGATAAGGTCCTCTAAAAAGTCTGGTAAGCATAGGAGCTCGTTTTCCCGGTATAGCAAGGCTGCAAAAGTTGTGGCAGCCATTTTGTTGGGGGTGAATCCTACTTCGTAATGCTACTGCTTCACTAATATAAAATTATAAATTTTTGATATTATTCATTGTATCCATTTTTTTTAATTTCATAGGCATGCCATACATTTAGCATTTCTCTAGCATGTTATTGTTACATAGAATACTAGAGACCACAGGCAGCACCATGTGGAGGTAGTACTGTATTGCTGCCCAACATAAGGATGAAACTAAATAAATTATTACTCTAACTAGATATTTTACCTTTGAAGTTGATCCAATTTAATGGGTCAGATCTACTGACGCTTTGTAAGAAAACTAACATTACCACTATGTAAGATTAAAGTGAACTAAGACATAGTGATTCATTCTATTTCTATGAATTAAGTACACACTAAAGTCAGATACATAATGGCGACTTTTGTTGTGAAACCGTAACGTATAAAGTATCCCAAGAGCGGGATCCATTTTGAGTTGACAGCACTGAAACATGAATATTCGATTGAAATACAGTTGCGACAACAAAAATGTCATTTTCAGTAGCCCAAGTACAAAATTGGTCTATTTTTTTCTAATATATGTGCCTTCCTTTATTGGAGTTATAATATACAGGTGTGGCAATATTAAATTTTTAATAATTTTAAGGCATTGCTTGTCGTAAAAGCACAAATAGTTAGTGTAACTAGCATGTGATTTTATTCAGTCCCAGCTACAGCTTTAGAAATAGCTCTGTAAAAAAATAAAGCAGCAGAATTCATTCAGTCTGTGAAATGTGTTTTGCACATTGCAAAAGGTTTTGCATCATCAGCTTTAACACATTGAACATCATGTTCTACTGTAGCAGACATACCTCTGTGTCTAGGATTGAGTGGGCATAATTGTTGATGCGCAGATTTTTCAATACTGCAAGTACATTTAACACTTCTAATAATAAACTCTTCCAAATCACTATCTATGTCAGTGCTATTCAAAATAATACTATCACAACTGGAAGCAATACTTCTATCATCATTACTATCAATTGATAACAAGCTAACATGCAGATCAGCTACTGTATCATCTTTTACAACACCACTATCATGCACAAAGCATAATCTGTGTACCTATGTCTTGATCAATATCAGTCATACTTAGTTTACCTTTTTTCTCCTATAAATTGTGGCCTCATCTTGTTTTGCTTTTCTTTTAAGATTTAGGTGTCTCCTTACCATAAGTGTGGCAGCTCATTTGTTCAACCCATAATTTACGTGCAGCTTGTTCTGATTGCCTGTGACTTCCTTGCCCTTCTTCTCTTACGCTTCACATCACACTGACTTTAAAAGAGACTTAAACATAAAAACATTCATTGCTTTTAATACTTCAACCATGCCATCAAATTTAGGTAGGTTCATTTTACCAAAAAGATCAAGTAACCTATGGTACACTGGCCCCTTATGCACATACATCCTGGACTTATTACTTTGTATAAGACAAAGAGACGTAGAAACATAATAGTGAAGCATTTGAAGATTGAAAATTTTGCTTCTAAACTGCAGCAATACCTTATGTGATGATTCAATTATACTAGTGTGGCAAGAACCTAATGCCTCCGAATAATTTGTTTTGATTTTGGAATAACAGCTTCACTAAGATAATGTTAGTTTTGCATGGCTTACCTTGACACGTAATGTTACCTTTTCTACATTTTCCACAATCACGAACAGTTAAATCATTAAAGAAACACTGTCCCATTCTACCTGCAAACGTGATTGGAAACTTCAATGATTCTAATAATATTGCAAGTTGAGTAAGGGCATACCCCATTTAATTTTAGCAAACCAGTGTTTAGCTATATGTGACCCAATATGAGAAAACCAGGCTATATGCTCCAAAATTGAAAATTGAGATTTATAGTATTCTTAATTAAGCAAAGTTTTTCCTATCTTTTGGTCCTTCTTCCATGTCATTTGACACATCTAGTGCTGAGTTATGCTTATTTATGCAACAAGAAGTCTAAACGAATGAAATTGAGTTGCAGCCATTTTTATCATTATATCTTGCATTATTTACATGGTACACAACAAAAAGAAAGGTCTGTAAATGACCTCTTTCATGTTATTTTAGGGCAAACTTGGTATCAAATGAAAGGAAATTCTTTATACAATATATTTTTGGTATAATATCAGTTTTGATAAGGTACCGCTGTCACAACTTTAAGAAGCCATATCTCCAATTGATAATTCCCGCAGATAGCCTTGTTTTTTCATATTGGGTCACATATGGCGAAACTTTGTGGAACCCTATAGCTCTATTTTGGAATGAAACAGGCAAGTTTTTACTTCTAAAGGTGGTTCTTAAAAATCTTCAGTGCAACATGACATTTATTGTAGCTAATACTGACTATACATAGGACAGCTTTTTAGGCTATATGAATCAACTTTTTGCCAGATTGCCGAGGATTTCGTTACTCCCTACTTTTATATATCTAACAGAAATAAAAAAGAACATCACGATGCACTGAAAGATCTTAAGTATCTACAGAAGTAAAATTTAACTGTTTCATTAAACAACATGCCTTGTATGCCAATTGGTAAGTTTCAATTCCATTTACGGCTATCAAGTAACAACTACGAGCACGGCTTCTCAATATAAGACAACAGGGAAACCTGTTTATATACCACAATTTATATTGGCTGCCCACACAAGAATCATGACTTTAATTATTGCAATATGCATGGGCATTGTCCCAATAGACTGTCACGTGATAATTGCTATTATATATTTTATGAAACTGAAAACACATTAGTAATTATTTATCACTATTATTAGCCAAATAAGACTGAAGAAATAGCTACAAACAAACATGAATACAGTCGACTAGATCTATCACAGCTTTGATTATGCATAGGCAAGTACTTTGGTGTGCAGAACAACTTAACCTCTACATTTTCAGTGATAGAATTAGTAGAGGAAACAGATGTAGCAGCTGATGAAGATCCTGTCTTGCCGTTCCATCAAGCCTTATGAAGAGCCTCAAACCTTTTATCTTGCCTTTTTTGTGGCATTTTTAAAATTATTATATCTGGCGATGACGAAGAAACTACTAAACGTGACAGCACAGACGAGACAATGAATACTATGGTTATTCATAGAAATTAATAGTATAACTATACTTTTGCTGCAGTAAGATGGTTTCAATCGAAGGTATAGCTTTGGACCATAAAACTTCTGAACAATACAGAATTAAAATTACTTCTTATTGCTATTAGAAGCTTAATTATTTTAATAGAAGATACAAAGAATATTTTTGATTCAAAAATCATTATTTAACAAATTTGCATTGTAAAATAAAGATAATTTAACTTCTTCAGTTATAAGCATCATCATAACTGAGCACTTAAAAGGATCTGTGCATTAATAAAGAATATATCTATTGAAACTGAAATAATGACAGAGTTGCAAAGTCATTGCAAATTAAATATTAGTAGACATTAAAAAATTTATGACATTTCACTTTGCTCATCCAATGGAATGGCTAGACTATTGTAAGAAAATTGGTTATAATAGTAAGGTATACAATTGTGCAAAAGTTTTGAATTCAAACTATGTAAGTGGGCTGCACCCTTAAAATTTTAATGTACTACTGACTCCCTACTATTTTTTTTCTCAGCTTCATAGTATAGTTTTGCCAAGTTTGACTGGTCAGATTTACTTTTTATCATTTAAGTTTGGGTTTAAAATGTTTAGTTTACCAATTTTGTAGTATTGCTTTCTTTTCTCATTTTTGTAGTAAAACTTAAGTAAGGAGTAGAGCCAAACACTCACTTCCGGTCGCCATCTATTTCCCAACGCGATTTCTTCTAAAGTAGACTTCTTTTACCTACAACTTTTGCATTGCCACAAATCTTACACTTAGTAGATCAAGGTAGTATGTTTTTGAAACAGCTCAAGTACCTTTGCAATTTTTACAAAGCGTAGAAGTTGCAAATGGAATACATGAATTTTCAATTTTTGCACATCATTTATCGTTATTCTTCCTGAAATGCAACAAGCAACATCAAATTTAAAGAAGTATATTATTACCACAGTGGTCTATCCTTACTTCACAAATAGCAATATTAAGGAACATGTTTTACTTGTTACAATTTTTCTAAGCAAGATGCAAAAGGTAGATATTGATGGATCAATGATCGAACACATCGGACTACACCTTGTTGTTCTAATTTGTGCCCATAGCCTGCCACACATGTACATTGTGTCAAGTCCTAGGTCAAGTCTCTGGTTGTTGTCTTTTTCTCATTGTCTTCTTGAAACAATTACACTATTACATGATTCACAAGGTGAGAACTGATGTCTATTTTCTTTTAATTTGTGTTTTTGACAATAAATCATGGCAGTGATGACACTGATATTTACTTGGCCTTACTAATAAATTTCAAATTTGCATAACAGTCTAATGATGTTTTACATTATGTTTCTCATAATTTATTTGCTTCCTCTGTTGATTAGTTATGTCAGGTCAGGTACGTGTAGCAACGAGGCCTTTAAAAGAAAGACTATTAAAGGCATCTGTGAGCAGTGGTGTAGCCAGACCTTTTGTGATGCCAGGGCCGGGGAAGAAGAATAATTGGTGCGCGAAGCGTGTCGGACAAATTTTCACGCTTTTAATGATATTCATGATGGGCGTGGTCAATTAAACCTGTAGAAAATGGCTGATTTTGAGTAGAATTTGTATGAGATCGCTGGTTTTTGCGTTAGATCTCACAAAATTCTTTTGCTAAGCAATCAAAATCAAGGAATGAAGTCATTCTTGTAGAGCAGTGCTCAATAATCTCTGGTAAACAAGTGATCATTGATATTTCAACTGTCTAATTATTTGACCTGGGATCTAATATCTGGGCCCAGGCCTGGCAGACCCAAGTGTAGCTACGCCACTTTTGCTGATACACAGTCAAAAAGAGTTTGTTGACTTTGCTTGCGTTTAGACATGATATCCAATAATTACACGTGGTTAATAATTAATTTTTATTAATAAAATTCAATTAATAATGGTTAACTAATTTGTCGAAAAAGTTGATACCCGGGCCCAGGCCCGGCAGGCCCGGGTGTAGCTACGCCACTGTCTGTGAGGTCTCCTGCTAGATCAAAGTCCACTGCTGCAACATAATTCTGTTCAAGAATAAAGTACAAGCAGTATCATGAATCAAAGTTGTATCAGGCATTCAGAGTGGTCGTCGAAGGAAAGCTATCAACAAGTCGTGCAGCTCTTGAATATGGAGTTCCTCTTTCAACACTCTCTGATCAGTTAACTGGAAAAGTACAGTTTAGAAAGAAAGGAGGTGCTGAGAATTATCTAACTGACAGTGAAAAATAGAGCTTAAGAACTTTATAGTGAAGTTAGCAGCGTTAGGCTTTAATTTTGGTCGTAAGGAAATCATTGCTTTAGTTCAAGATCTGTTAGACAAACGAGGTGTCAATAAAACCATAACTCATGGATGCTGCAATGGATTTTCAAGGCATCACCCAGATATTGTTTAAAGGCAACCAGAACCTGTCTCTAAGGTTTGTTGTTTGGCATTTAACTCTGAGAACATTAAAAGCTATTTTAAAGATTTAGAATGTACACTCTTGGATAATGATATTTTAGAGCAACCATCATTAATATTAACATGGATGAGACAGGCTTTCCATTAAATCCCAAGTCTACATTTGTAGCATGCATGAGAGGAGAAAAGCATCCATCCCTTATTACTTCTGGTGCTAGTCACACATCACAGTATTGGCTTGCTGTAGTGCATCAGGTAATGCTATACCTCGCTTGGTAACTTTTGAAGGGAAAATTTTTAAAGTGCTTGCAGCTGGGGAGGTACCAGGCACAATGTATGCATTGTCAAAGTCAGGATGGATAGACAGTGATATTTTTGATTTGTGGTCCAGTGATCATTTTTTGCCAACATGCTTCAGGTGGACTACCGATTCTTTTATATATTATTCTTCTATATTCTATATATTCTATATATTCTTTTATTCTTCTTTATTATAATCCAGAAACTATAAAGCAGCAAAGAAAAAATCATAATTTTTTGTGTACCTTTTCATACATGACATTAAACAAAACCCTTTGACAATGGTTGCTTTTCTCCTTTAAAATCTTGTTTCACAGAAGAATGTCATACTTACCTGAGAAATAATACTGACAAGGTAATCATTTTATTTCAATTGAATACAATAATTGCAAGAGCCTGGATGAGAAGTATGTCTACAAAACAAGCATTACAGGGTAAAAAATATTCCTATAATTGATTTCACCACCTTGCAGGTACAACTTGGTCATTATTAAGACTTATAAAGGTTCTCTCTACCTGCTAGAGAAGTCTTTAGACAGTATCTCTATGCTTTCTTGCTGTTAGAAAGCTCTTAACTTTGTCCCGTGTGTAAGCCGCCATTTTGTTTGCCATAGCCACACCGACTCACGTAAAGGAGCGTGGGCGGGTCCAATACAACATTTATAGAAGAAATGTAACTGTGGACATACAAATAAATAAATTAATAAATATATATAGATAGCGTGACGGTGAAATCAATAATAGGAACGACCAGGGGGCTACGCCTCCAGGTCGTTAATAAATTCAGTCCAAGAGCTCTTCAACCTAAAGTAGAAAAGTTTTTACCATTATTTCTGCTACATTTGGTGAAAAAACAGGGATAAACTACATACCTCTTTGTAGCCCTCATAGTAAATTTTGTCAGTCAGATCATCGTCATGCAATACCTAAACACTGCCAGAATCTCCTTTCTGTTCTCCTAAGTGTACGATTCCTGTCATTCCTAGATCACTTGATTATTCTTTTGGTGATACAATACGTAATTGTTCCAAGACATCTCTCACTTCAGAAGAAATAGCAAAATTCCAACACCGCTTTGATTAAGGCTATGATATACCGAACGACAGATATTATTGTGGCTAAAGCAGAATGAAGCAACTCATCATATAAAAGAATGTACTCCACTTAAATAATCTAATGACATCACTTGTCATATCGCTCATCATTATTAACATTTTTGAAGAAAAAAGTTTCAGAAACCGAAGCGTACTGCTACTAAAGCACATTTTGTGTACTCACCAGTGCTCAAAATAGAAAAAACATGGAGAAAAAAAGAGCTCACAAGGAAAAAAAGCTCTAAGTGAAGAAACAAAGGCTGAAAGGGGAAGGCGTCAACTGGAAAGAGAAGCTGCTGCCAGGCAAAAGCAGCTTACAAGAGATGTAACAGCAGTGAGTTAATAATGAAACTATTTTATTATTAAAGTAACTATTATTTTTGTTGAAGTAAATGGTAAGGAAGTGCCAAACTCTTCACACAGTCTACGTACATTAATTATTCATTATGTTAATTTATAATAAAAAAGATGCAGCACCCTCTCCTGTTAAAACTAGAGCAACAAGACTCAAATCCAATAACGGTACCAGTTCACTAGATAATACTGTAAAGAGGGCAACAAATTCCTAAAGTATTATTATCATTATAGTAAACATATACACTTTATGTGAAAAAACAAAACATGCAGACATACAATTCACACATGCAGACAAAGACATAGGACCCAATACAATAAAAGAATAAAAGGGCAAAGCTCTACAAAGACATGTACAGATTATTAGTATTATTTAAAAAGTGGAGTCTACTATTGTGATTCATATCATTCAATACTGTATTTACTGTTTTGTTGTGAGTCAGTGCTACTAACGTTAGTGCTGTTGTTACCATTGCTGCTAAATTTACTGAAGGTATTATGCATCTATAATTATGACTAATCACAATTATAATTATATAGATTGTTGACTCCCTCATGTTACCAAACAAACAAGCTGTAATTCTAGTCAAAGTAAACATTATATCATATTGTATCTATTATCTCTACATCGTAATTCAACACCATAATTAAACTCTTTCTAGATAGCTCACTTCCTTCTGTTCCAACTAGGGCAACAAGACATAGTAATGATTATGCATTTTTGTATAATGATTTGATTTTATATGTAGATCACTTATTCCTTTTTCAACCTCAGCACCATCAACATTTATTCGCAATCAAGGTACAAAAATAATATATCTGTAATGAAGAAATTTGTTCATGTACAGGTAGTGCATTCTGCTATACTTGTACAAAGGCAAGTCCTAACTTTTCTAATCAAGGTAGAAATTATGTATGAAGTATTAAGTATTGATCTACTGTTTAGTTAACTGTAAAGGAACCAGGTCCGCTGTTGCAACTAGCACAAGAAAGTATAATAGTAATGATTATGCATCTTCGTATAATGTTTTCATTTTACAGGTAGATCATTTATTTCTGTTGCAACCTCAACAATGTCAACATTCATTTGTAATCAAGGTATAAAATAATGTCTTTAATGAAGGAACTTTGTACATGTAGGTAGTGCACTCTGCCATACTCATACAAAGACAAGACGTATGTGTAATGTTTCTAATCAAGGTAGAAATGATTATTAAGCACAATGTATTGATCTGCTTATATAGTTGACTGTAGAGGAACAAGTTCAGTTGAATGTAATGACTCTCCAAGTGCTACAACTCACAGTAGTAAAAGTAACTGATTTTTTAGCATAATAAATAAGATATAGTACTTGTAATTTTTCAGGTTATTGCTGGTTTGGTGGCCCAGAAAAAGGGTGAATGGTATCTTGTAATTATAATATATGTGACAAACAGTGGTTTCATTATGTATGTGCTGGAACATGGCGAGTGCCTACAGGAACTTGGTATTGTTCAGAAGAATGCACAAGAAAGTGCTAATGCATTTGTTGCGACCATTATATACTTGACTCTTGATTATAGTTGTTGTGAGAATAAAAAATGTAAAAATTAAAGTTGTGGGCTTGTTCAATCATTGATCCATCAACGCATCAATATTAGAGTAAATGAAAGGGATCAGATACGGGCATCTTATTATACACAGCTAGGAGACGGATGCGGGTTGACATTTGCATCTAACAACGGGAGCTGTCTTGGAGAAAGAACTGTCCTCTTGACACCTGTCATTCCAGAGGTGGTGTCAGTATACGCCATTATTTATATCAAAGGATGCAGAGGAGACATGAATATATCCCTAGACACTTTTATACGTAGCTAGCATCATCATTTGCACTGATTATTAGCTCTGACATAGGAATGGTTTTAACAACTTTTTGTTTTGTACCCTTATGTCAAGTGTGATACACAGATGATAGTAAGTGATTTAATAATTAGAGTACCAAAATGGGGAGGTCGCCCACTATACTTCCTTTGGCAAATGATTATGTCCTTCTGTAACAATCCATTTACAGTAAGTGTGAGATGTGTGAGATGTTCGTTTTGTACCCTTAATATAAAAACCAAAGGCTTTGTGGCATTAGCTAATACACCATTGTAATAGTCACAAGTCACTGGAGGTCACCAACACCATTTCTATGTAATAGGTTGTGCAAAACAAAATATAGAATTAAATATAATAAGTCTGATAAATAATGATTGCTAATTTATAAAACACTGAATTTAAACCACAAACAGATACATTGCTACAGCAGACAACTTGGGCAAATAGGAAGAATGTTTCTTAACCTTATTAAAGGGTAACCTTTACAATATAAGACTTTATTCAACAAAAAAACTAGCTAAAAATCCTTACCTGCTTCAACTTTCAGCCATTTTTAACTTTACATACGAGTAATTAAAGGTTATTTATGGTACTATCAACTCTCATTTTTCTGTTGCTTTCAAATCCTTTTCACTTACTCTTAATATCTATATCAATTGCTACCTTTTGCATCTTGCTTAGAATAATTTAAACTAGTGAAACATCTTCCTCAATATTGCCATTTGTGAAGTAAGGATGGACCATTGTGGTAATAATGTACTTGTTTGCAGTTGCTTGTAGTATTTCAGTAAGAATAGCAATAAATGTTATGCAATAATTGAAAATTTATTTGTTCAAATTGCAACATTTATGCTTTGTAAAAAATCGCAAAAATACTTCAGCTGCTTCAAAAAGATACCACCTTGATCTTAACTAAGGCTAAGCTTTACAGCAATGCCAAAGTTGTAGGTCAAAGAAGTCTAGGTTTGAAGTTGTGTTCAGAAATGGATGGTGACAGGAAGTGAGTGCTTGACTCTTAACTGGTCAGACTTTGTTTATATCATTGGCCTCGCCCAGCTTTGCATAGAAAAGGACTAGGTACTCAGTTTGTCTGTCTGTGTTGCATTACCTCAGCCCACGCATAGGTATGGAAGCGAGGGTAAAGCAGTCGTCCCTGTCTGTGCGTCTTTGCTTGGCCTCCACTTTTGAACTGACACTGCTTTCTTCTCTAGAGTTTTATAATCAACACTGGCTAAACAAAAAGTTATTCTGCTATGAAATGCTTGATTTGTCTTTTCCATGGAAAAAGATGCAGGTAATGTAGCCAAATGGAAGCAGTTCTCCTGCAGCTCTTTTATAGAGAGAGCAAAAAGCAACAGAACACAAAAAGTAAAGCTAAGCCTCATCTTTCATTAACGTGAGAGGAATTGCTCCAATCAGCGTTTTTTAAGATACGTTAGCCCAAGCATTTATACCTTGTGAGTTTTGCTATCTTCTCCCTAAGTAGCGCCAGAGTCTTTAAACATCAGGGACTCAATAGATGCTTCTCTGCAACAAATAGAGCCTAACAAGTGTATGCTAAACTGTTTCAAAGTTAAGAAAAACTAAAGCTCTCTTAACCACTTAAAGCCATGTGCCACCAATCCTGTGTGCGGGTGAAGCATGGCTTCATTGAGCCACACCTTCACTGCAATGCAGGAAACATTTTTCTCTGTGTAAAAAAGCAAAACAATCACTAAGTTTTAATAAATCTAGTACAAGTTAAGGGAAAATAATTGGTAAAAGTTTTGAGATAGAGAACAAGCTTTATTTATTAAAACTGAGTGAATATTTTCAGACAAAGAATGTTTTTTAGACAGGGAACAAGCTCCAGCATGTTTGCTGCACAACAGTCACATTTTTACATTGCTGCAGCATGCAGCAGCAATGCATATTGCTTAGGTTTGTCTTCTGTCTCGAACTTTCACTGAAGGCTGGCCCAACATAATCGCTGATGCAACAATTACAATTAGGGACCGAGATACAAATCTAGTGTATCTCTAACACAGTTATAATGATAATACTAATACATAAAACTTCCGCAAATATAGTATGGACACGAGGCTTAAGTTTCACTTTCACTTAAGTCTATTACAAACTGTAATGTATTGTTAAGTCACACCACACACCTATGCCTTTACATTGCATTATTAGCTATGCCAAAGTTTCCCTGCTTGTAAAGCCTGAAAATAGATTAATTTTTAAGGACATCTTTATTAATTCTTCCTACAGTTACCTCAGTCTATCTTTACATTCGCAAGTTTTTTAATTCTTCATTTAGCTGTCTCTTTTTTATCTTTATAAATACCTCCTCTGTTTTCCACTCTCTTCTAATAAATAGCAAGTCAGGCAGAGCTGCTGGGTGTCTTTTGCATTAAAGAAATTCCTTCAAAATCCTATTGTAATACTATTTTTCAATTACTAATAATAATCATTTTTGTTACTTCAAAGGTGTGGCTCGTAGCGGCTGGGCTGCTCTAGCTACACTACATCTACAGTATAAAACAGCACTTTGAAATTTGAATTGCCACGCCACCATCTTTTCACAGTCCTTTTTGACTTATTTTTTAGATTTATTTCTCTCTGCTTATTGGTTGAAACATAAATTCTGTTTTTTTCTGAGAATCTTTGGTAAGTTGGGTAGGGTATATTAATTTACCTGTAGAACAGTAATCATTATTTTCAATTATCATATAAATATCTATTGTTAGGACCCAGGCTGCATTCATCTAATACAATACAGGGTGCCCATTTTGAATTAATATTTTGAGTTTTCATAGATGCTGAGCTTTTGTATATAGAATTAATTGCTACATCACACTGTAGTTCTTCTGAGATTTTTCTTATTGTTTTATTGTTGCTCTTTATCCCTTGGTTAAAGCATTATTGCTTTCATTATTTCACCAGTATCTATTAGCATTGATTTTAATATTAGGTAAACCTGTTAAGACAACTGAAGGTGACAAGTATCAAGTCAGGTTGCAGTTTTTTTGGCCTGCCTATGTAAGTTTCTAGAAAAAATTTTTTGTAGGTTTTGTAAGTATATGTAAAATTGTGATTGATTTGTAACATTATTGTGTTTGTATTGGTTGTTTAACTTGTCACATATTGAGTTTACATAAATATACTGCTGACCTCCTTACAAAGCAGGTAAGAACAACGGAGCTTATAGTATTCGTAGAAAATTCATGCACATTGCTTTGCCTTTTATGGTTTTGACTGCTTTATGCAAGATTTTACTTTTGGCAGGAGACATTAAAAGTAATCTTTGCTCTCAACATTCAAACAGTGCTCACAATGTTTTGCTTCAGTTTGTATCTGGAAGTTTATGTGATAATTGTGGTTTGTCAATAAAATAAAAGTATAATGAAGTGCCCATTATGTAGCGAACAAATATCTGTTTTTTTATAATAATTGTCCATGTGGTTTTAATTTTATTAAAGTAGCAAAAAGGAAAAAGTGCACTGCTAAAAAGAGAATGGCTTCTAATAGAGCCAATGAAGCACTAGAATCTTCTTTACAAAGAAAGCATCAAAACGAAACTAATATGGCTGTTGTGAGAGCCAATGAAACACCTGGAGCTTTTTCATAAAGAAAGCAGAAAAACAAAGAGCATTTGTCGATGAGAGCCAATGAAGCATCTAAGTGTAGAAATTTAATGTTGCTGCTTGTAAAAGATTTGCCAGAAATCCATTGGTTGCAATAAATGAAGCTATTTCTAATTGTTCTACTAAAATTAGATTCGGCTCCCATGATGTATTTCACTAATATAGTTTCTTTTGATAGAAATAAATATAGCAAAGGGACCCTGAAATGTTACTTGTGGTACAGAATGGATATGCTTGACATGTAATTATTCCCTGAAAAGGGGGAATGTCCCTGTAATGGCAAAAGCTAAAGGCCTTGGCCTTGAAACTATACCTCCCGTATTGCAATGTTTGAAAGAGCTTGGTTACGGTTGATTTCCCTTAAGATACCATTTATGTAAATGGTATCCTTACGTGGCAGTAAACAAAAGGGCATTCTTGGACCAGCTGTAAATGTCCCATCCAATGTTGATACCATAGTTGATGTGCTTCCCATTTTGCATTTACAGTGTGAACTGAATGCACTTAAATTAAGAAGAAAACTTTCCTACAAGGGTGACTACATGTTACAGTATGTTAGGCCAACCAATGTTATGAATGCCCTCAAATGGCTAAAAGTTCACAACCCCCTGTATAAAAATGTTAATATAAATAAGGAATGGCTATCTTACTCTGTTGTGATGATAGAGAGGTTTTTGCAGCCTTGTTTGATCAACCCAATAATGATATTACAATGTTCAACAAAGTGAATCTACTGCAGTTGTGTATGTTCCAGATATTTTTAATAATAGTGTTCCCATTACTCCCATGGTTGTTAATAGTACTGCCCAAC